TGGGTGGTCCAGGGCCCTGCTGCCCGGATGTGCAGGCTGAGCGTGTCCTCGTGGGGCGCAGAAGTCAGTGTGAAGGGGTGGTACTCTGTGGTTCCCAGAGCCAGGCAGGCGATCCGCACCCACTGTCCTGATTTGTACTCGAAGCCTTGGGGCCGCTGGAACTGCAGGTGGGTGACTCCTGACGAGGGCAGGTGGGCGGGAGGCTGCTATCCTGAACCCAGCAACAATGTGGCCTCTAGAGAGTTCCCCCACCTGCAACCTTAGCTCTGCTTTTGAAGTATGACAGGGGAGGCCTCCCCCCATCAGAAGTCATTACTCCTCTGAGGCCTTGTCTACCCTGAGGAGGGGCTGGGCAGCACCAGGGCTGGTGGTCAGGAGGCGAAGGGCAGTCCTGCCTGGGCTCCCACCCTCTCCTGTTGTGAGAGATGCCCTTGTCGCCTGGCCAAAAGCTATTTTTAACCAGCTCCCACGTCCCTGACACCTCAAGGCCCCAGCCACCTCTGCTGGGCCAGGCCAGGAGATGGCAAGGCTCTGCCCCTGCCCTGTCAGCTTCCTCAGTACCAGCACTCTGCCCCCCTGACAGCCTCGAGGCCTGGTACCTGAAGGCAGCAGCTCTGCCTTCACCACGCTGATCTCCACCTTCTTCCGGCTCAGGCTCACCAGCTTGTCTCCCGCATAGATTAGTGCTGGGACCAGGAAGAAGATGTGGAAACGGGGCAGCTGGATCAGTGCGAAGCTGCCATGCATGATGAGCTGGAAACAGCAAAGAGTACAGCTGAGACCCAAGCCACACCCACAGCAGGGTCCGAGGCCAGCCTAGGCCTTAGACCCCTGCATTCTTCCCAAGTTGGCCCAACCAATCCCCACCTCAGCAGGTGCCATGCTCCTTCCAGGTTCCAAAATTTAACTGGTCCCAACCCATCCCCCAAAGCATCCATGTTAGGAAGACTATCTGCATCTTCCTGTCACCATCCTAGACCAAGCCACCTGCACTCATTCAGTAGCCTCCTGATGGGTCTTCCACTGGGTTGCGTGACTGATCCATTCTCTTCAAGACAGCCAGTGAGTTTTAAAAGATCGTTTTATCATGTCATCCACAGTTCAAAAAACCTTAGAGGACTTTCTGTTAGGCCACGAGGCCTCATGCTGCTCTGGCCTCCACCTGCCAGCATTTCCCCCTCTCTGTTCTTCAAACACAGCAAGTCCTTTCTGCTTCAAGATTTGGCAGCTGCTGCTGCCTCTGCTGGGAATGCCTTTCCCCTGGTTCTTCCCATGGTTACGCCCATTTCATTTTTCAGGCCTCAGCAGAAATGCTACCTCCTCAGTCCCTTCAGAGCACTGTCGTCATCCATGGTAACTGTGCTGCTTCATTGGTGGACATGTTTCCTGTTGTTCTCCCCACCGGACTGCAGGAGTAGGGACTGCGTCCATTTGGTTTGCCATGATACTCTCAGCTCTGAGCAGTTTCTGCCTGGCACATGGTAGGCACTCAGTAACTACTGAGTCAATGGAAGGAGCTTCCCCAATTTCTCCTCTCCCTTTGGAGATAAAGGACACTTAACCAGTCCTCCTTTTCCATGACAACTGACAGGTATCGCCCAGCTCTGGTCCCTTCCCCAACAAGCTGTCTAACGTGGTCAGACACTGCTTGCCCTCATTCTTCGGCTTGCTTGCTCCTGCGTCTGGTCAGTATGGCTCCCGCCTCCACCTCTTCTCAGGACCTGCCCACGGAGGGCTCACGAGCGAGTGGCCCAACCCCGAGGTCTCCTTCAGACCACATCCAGTCCCACCCTTGGCAGCCTGTGGCTCTAATGACCACCCCTCCTTGTCACTTGTGCAACAATGTTTACCGGTTCTCCCTCCCCGTCTCAGGCTGTTCACTTTCTATCTGCGGCACTGGCTCTGTTCCTTCTCCCACCCCTGATCCTGTGTGTTGCCCAAGCCTGCTTTCCTCACCTTCTGCTCTTCTCTGTCTATGCTCTCCCACGTCGCGTGGCCTCTTAGCTGAGCCACAGCCCCTCAGCTTCAGCAACAGCCCTCACAGATCTGCCACGTCCTGCCACCGCCTAATGCCCTTTTGGCCACCCACAGCCAGGCCTGTCTCCTCCGTGCCTGAATAGTCTATCATCATTCCCGCCTCTGCACCAGTGCTCACGCCCTTCCTTCCACCTGGAATGCCCTTCAGTTTCCACTCTGCCCTGTCAAACCTCAGCTTATCTCTCCTTAAGGCCTGGCCCAAGTCCTATCTTCTGCCCAAAGTCTTCCCTAACCAGTTTGGCCCGAATGAAACTCCCTTCAATGAGCTCTTGTAACTGACTGGAACACTCAGCTCAGCAATTAATCCTGTATTATTATCTGTTCATTTTGATCATTTCACGTGCAGGGCACTTATCTCTGCAGCAAATCCTCAGCCCCTGAGGGCAGAGCTTAGAGCCTCCCCTTCCTCTGCTGGGCCTAGCACAGAGCAAGTATGTATCAGACCCTCCATAGACAGCTGTTAAACTGAACTCCAGTTCTCACTCAGCTCCCCTGTCCCCCCGCTGAGTGTTCCCCAATTCTTGAGCCTTTCCCCACACAGCTAACTCAAACCTCTTTAGGCTCTTTCCTGAATTGGCTCGGTTTTTTCCCAAGTTCCTCTTTCATTAGCGAGCCCACACCCACCACCAAGGCTTTCTGTGCATCCAGCCAGGCTGAGAACAATGTCAGGATGACATCATACTCCTGTTTATACACCCCATTTGGTGTTGGCTCTGCCTTCACACCACAAAGCTGCTGCAGACTCACGGTTGACCAAGGAGCCTGGGGAACAGCCTGCCAGCTCAGCTCCTGCTGTGCTAGCCCCATCCTCTGCAGCCTGGATCAGGAGCCTGGACATCCTTCCCCAGAGGCTACTCCCCACTGGGGTCCTTTATTTGTAACTTCTCTTTCTGCCTGAGGTCAAGTGGCCACATCTGGGATAAGTGGAAAGGCGGCGGGTGCTTTGACTCGGATCTCCCCCTAGGTGAGATGCTCCCAAGTTGCCAGAGCTAGGACTGCCCCTCAGAGGGGCCTGCATCTTTCACAGCTACTAAGTTTCCTGGTGAATCCCCAGGTGATCCCCAGAACCCCAGGAATAAATCAGAAAGGGGTCTCAGGGAACCAGGCTGGCCACTCTTCTGGGTCTCCTGTCTAGTTCCAAAAAGCTGCCTTATCACCAGGAACAAGACCATCATCTCCACCCCTGACAAAAACAGTAACCTAGATGCTAGGGCTCTACCCATTATCAGGAAGGTGGGAGGGAGGGAGAAATTAGTCACAGCTTTCAAAGAAGAGAGAGACTTCTTTGGAAACCAACATCATCAGCTCTAGGAAACATCCTAAGCCTAGGCTGGGTAGTCATCTTCAGGACCATGACGTGCTGAGCCTCAGGCAAGATGGAAACACACCCTCCTACCTACCAGTGAAGACAGACCTGGGAGGAGGCAGGGCCAACAATGGTACCAGGCTGAGCCAGACAATGATGACCTCTCTCCCTTTGTCTCAGGATGAAGGAGACCCCTGTGTGCAGTTCTGCCTGGAGCCAGGTGACAGAGAGGGCAGCCATCTGGGCTCTGCACTTCTTGAATGCTGGCAGCCAGACTGTTATCAGTGGGGATGTCAGAGCTTTCGGACTTGGTTTAACTTCTCAGCAAGGCCCTCAGGGTGCCCTTTGCAGCAATGCCTGTGTCTGTGAGAGAGGTAGGCCCAAGTAGAGCCACAACACAGGGGCAGAGATCAGAGTCATCTCTGGAACTAGCCTGCTGAAGCAGCTGATGACAAATCCAGGGGAAGGTGAGGGGAAAAGGAGACAAGAAGGGAAAGAATCTGAAGGAAGGGAGGCAGGAGCCCAGATTAAGGAGATGGAAAAGGGAAAGGTGGAATCTCAAAAATCCATTTTATCAACAGTCCAAGTGAAGACATTTTGAGCAAGTTCATTAACTTTACAAGTGGCACTTCGCTAGCTGGGTAGGGTACTAATACCCCAGAAAACAGGATTAGAACAAAAGTAGCAGAACCCACATAAGATAAGTTTCTCTTAAAAAAGTTGATGCTCCCATCAGTGTAGACTGTTCACCCAAGAGCCCAAACCAGCCACCCAAAGTGGGGAAAGACTGGCTGGGCAGAAGTAATGTGGGGGTGACTGCAAAGAATGTAGATCAGCCTGGTAAGGCTGCTACTGCAAGCTCACGCCAGGGAGTCAGTCTTCCAAGTGCTGCATATTGGGGGAGTCTACTGAGGAGCCCCACAACGCCATTTTTTAAGAGAGAGATGGAGAAGTGAAGAGGATACTTGAAATAACTCATGAGAGGGCAACCTGATGTCTCAGCCATCACTGCCTCCCTGGGAACATCTGCCCAGACTCCGCTGGCCTGGTTCCCAGCCAAAGGCCTCACCAGCACGTAGAGCAGGATGTAGAGGTGGTGGGTCAGCCAGAAGCCCCGGAAGCTGCAACGGCGGAAGTGGTGGGAGGCAAAGATGTACATGATGGCAAGAACTAGGAGCAGCATGACCCCCGTGAGACCTGCAAAATGAACGTGGGATAAAGGGCTGAGGAGCAGGCCCTCACAGAGGGGGCTGTTCTGAGGTGCTAGGGTCCCCTCTCCACTCTGCAGCTCTAGGCAGGGGGTGGGGAAAGCCTGGCATTCTTCCCTCGTCCGCTTCCCGACACCGCCGATCATAGGTACCTCTCATTTCAACAGACCCTACTTGTCTTTCATAGACCTGTCATGACTTATTTTTCAAGCACCTGTGTCATTAATTGTTTTGTCTGTCACTTTCTCCAATCTCAGGTCCACAAGAACAGGGACCTGGCTAGGCTGGTTCACCATTGCATCCTAGTGCCTAGTGCAGGGTCTAGCACACCATGGGCCTCATGGAAGTGTGGAAGTGTGTGCTGTATGAATGAATGCATGGGGCAGCCACTCGGTGCCCTCTGGGAGGAACTCTGGACCCCGCAGGTCCTGCCCTTAGGGAGCCAAGGCTTGGTCAGTGTCCCAGCAGCACTCCACCCTGCAGCCACAGCACATAGCATAAGTACTGGCACCATCAGTGAGTGTGTGAGTGAGTGGGGCCACGCTGTCCCCACTCATCACCAGAGCCCCCCTAGGTCCAGCCCAGAGCTGGTGGGAGGCCCTTCCTCTCACAGGGCATCCCAGGCTCGGCGTGCACAGGAGGGCAATACTGGGAGACATTCCAGAGAACGGCCCCTCAAGTGATCAAGGAGGGGAGAGGCAGCAGTGAGGAAGATTAGAGGGCTGCGCACAGAAAAGTAGCAGGTAGCAAGGGATCTAGCCAAAGCCTATAAAGTCCTTGAAAAGAGAGGAAGACATAAACACAGGCTGATCCACTAAACCCCAGTGTGCAGGAATTAGCAAGCACTCTCTAAAGTTCAAAGCAGATCGTTTTAGGATTTAAAAAAAAATGCTGTGTTCACAGAAAGGAGTGAATGTAGAAAATGTGTTACCCCAAGGAGGGAACAGACTGAAAATATAAATAGCTTCAAGAAGCATTTGAATAGATTTACAGCTAATAGCTCTAAAATGAGTGATTATGGGGAGTTAGGAATATGCCCCTAAACAGCTCTTGTCAAGACAGACTACGAGATAGAGGGGGAGGGAGAAGAGGGTGCCTGTGAAGCTTCACAAAGAGCCTGGTCCCTCCCCCATGCAGCTAGGGCACAGCATTCCTCAAAGTCACTGTCATGGTAGGTGTGTGTTGGAGGGGAGGAGTACACTCTCATTCCTCAGAGGAAGGAACTAGTTCAGAAATGGGGCAGGAACCCAGCTAAGCCCTGAGAAGGCCTGGAATGCAGTCTCCTACTGCCTAGAAGAGCACTCAGGCGAGGGCAGAACCTGCCTCACTGTGAAGACTGAGTGCAACTGGGCTGCTCGTGGCAGACAGAACCCAGAGCCTGGAACTCAGAGCCAGGCCCGGAAATTCACAGAGCAGAGAGGGCTCTCACCTGGCACGGTCTGGAAGAACCACCAGTAATACTTCTGGGGGAACTCGGACCTGCGGGAAAGGGAAAGCAAGGACAGATCCTGTGAGGATTATGGCTGGGACTTCCAGAAAGGACCTTCCACAGGAGGCACCCCAACCCAGACACCAGTTTTCCTTTCTGGAGACTTCGGATTGGGGGCTTGGGTTAGTTATTGTCTTCAAGGTGACAGACACACTCCTCTGAGCCAAGAGAATTTGCTTCTTTCCATCTGCAAAGAATTCCCGCCCCTCCCACCCTCCCACCCTCAGTTCTACCACACACACACACTCACCCGTTGTCATGGAAGAGGCCGGGGAAGAGGCAGGAGAGGACGCTGAGCGGGCTGATGGAGAAGAGGTACACATTCACCACATGGCCTGCACTGTGTAAGACTAAGGAAGACCAGATAGGGTTGAGGTGAGCCTGGGGCCAGCCCGCTGTGGGGGCTCAACCCATTCAGCACAAGCTGGAGGACTCCAGCCAGCCAGAGTTGGGGGCCTGAAGCAGGACGCTAGGGACCCTAGAGATTCTGCTCTCTAATCAATCTCCTGCCCCCCCCACCCCATACAGACACCATCCATGAAAACAGCCACATGGGTCTGAAATTATATCAGACCTATGTAAGTTCATTCCTTTGGTTTCTCTCACAGAATTATGTTTTAAAACATAAAAACTTGGAGAGCTCACACATTGTGTGCACTCATTCTGGGGTGTTAGTAATTGTCAGCAGGAGGCTGGTGAGGTGATCTTGAAAGCGTGGGAAGAGGCACTGGTGGGGCAGTAAGGGGCTCCTGGGCTTACTTCACATCGCATCTAAGACTCACACTCAAGACAGGTGCAAGTAGGGGAGCGGGCTCTCAGGGGAGGGGAAGCCAGCAGGGAGTGGGAGGATGTGGAGATAATCCCAGGGAAGGCCAGGCCCTGCCTGTGAGGACGATGGCAGTGGAGGCAATGAGGCGATGGAAGTCCACGGCTGCGTCAAAGGGCACGTAGCGGTTGAGGAAGGTCTCTCGCAGAAAGGTGATGAGATTGCGGCACATGGTGAGCAGGATGTAGGAGAACATGAAGGAGATGCTGGCCGCCGTGCCCCGCGACAGTATGATGCCCACGCGGGTGGTGTCCGTGATGCCCGTGTGGTGAGCCGCAAAGGCGTAGTCTACGGAGGGACCAGGCGGGTGAGGTCCACGCCGGCCCTGGGCCGCCACGGACCACAACAAGCCTTCCAGTCTCCACTCAAGCGGGCCCCGCCCCGCCCTCCCCCGGTCCCCAGGAGGCCCCTCCCCCCGGCTGTCAGTCACTGCAGCCCCGCCCCTGGGCTGTCCGGCGCTCACAGTAGGCCCTCTCCAGGAAGAGGCCCCCCGCAATGGTGTAGAACACCGCCAGGCAGCCTATATGGCGCCGGTAGTTCTCCACGAAGCGCTTGAACTGCTGCACTGTCTGGTGGCGACGGCTGCGCTGAAACTTCTCTCGGTGAGCCTCAGTGAACAGCAGGGGCTGGAACGATGTCACCCTGGGAGACAGGAAGTTTTGGCTAAGGACCAAATGCTAATGCGGGCCTGCTCGTCAAAGGGGAGCAAGGAGCATTGAGCTACTCAAGCCAAGGAGGGTAGCAGACCGCAAAGGCTCGTCAAAACCACACTCCTCAAGCCAGCTGTCAGCGCGGGAACGGCCTGGCAAGTGGTCAGTTGGTCAGTTCATTCCAGTGGATGCACGCCATCCATCTCAGTTCCCAATCTCACTCAGACAGACCTCTCCCTTGCCAATCTGTAGCTCTCACCTTCCACCAGCTCCATTCTCACCCTTTACTGGAGCTCAAAGGACACCTCCCCAGGAAGCCCTCCCTGACCTCCCAGGCAGAGGTGAGCATTTCTTTGAGCTCTGAAGCTCCTTGCTCTTACCACTGTAATATTCATCAGTGGGACACTGTAACTCTTACCATACCAGATTAGCTCATCAGACTGTGATGTTCTTGAGCAGGGACTATTCATCCTGCCTGCACCCCCAGTACCAACACAGTGCTTGGCACCAAGCAATCAATGTATGCGTGCTGAAGGGATGGATGAACTGCCTGGACTTGAGGGGAGGAGTAGGCGTACTTCTTGCCAAACCTCCGTCGAATCTCCTGGGGAGGGTCTGTGTCTGTGGGGCACTGCAGTCTCCATGGTGTCAGCTCTACCTCCACATCGACGTTGCTGGGGGGACAGCGAGCTCTCATCCTGGGAGAGGGGCTAGGACAGGCATGTAGGAGTTAGGATAGGACCTTGGGCACCTGAGCCACTTGGTCCTGGCTGCTGCCCCTGGTCTGCCAGAGCCTCTCTGGTGAGGAAAGGTCAGAGCTCTCAGCCAGAGAACAACAAGATTCCCACAGAGACTTAGCAAGAGAATGTGTCAGGTCCTGGGGGTCCTGGCCAAGATGTCAATACAGTTCTGCCGTTCAAAAGGGCACATGATCCAGGCCGCAGGTGAGTGCAGAAATCCAGCAGGCTCTCTGTTCTCCATCCTGCAGGGCTCTGTCTGCCCAGAGTAAGGAATGCTTTTTTCTAATTTACACGGAGGCAGTACTTGGGCTGGTGACAACCCTGATTCTAGTCATTCTGGGGAGAAGAAAGGCACCTCCATGACCTCAGTCCTCCTCCCAATATTTCCAGATAAGAGCTCACCAGATCTTCTCCTGGCTGATGTAGGAGGCTCGCCGGCAGAGGTCTTTGATGACTTCAGGCACCTCCACCCCTGCAACATAGAGTTGGACTAGGGAGCAGCTCAGGGCCCAGAGCCTGGGAGGATGGCTCAAATGCACAGCACCCAGCCCATGTCCAGACACTGTAGAGGGTCCTTGGCCAGTACCCTGCCTCTGGGTGCCAGCCTTAGCCAGTGCCCTCAGTGGGAGCTAGATCCAACCATGGGTAGGCAGAGAGAATGCCTGAAACAAAGTTGGCCAGGCAGGCTCCTCTGAATGTGTGTCCACCTTCAGCTGCACTCCTGGGACTGGTATCAGGCTTCTGGGGTAGGGTTCAGGAACCATATGCAACCTGCCTGCTAAAACCACTCAACCACAGAACCCTGCTAAATACCCTCCAGCTTAAAGCCTCCTAGGAGTTAAATGTATAATCTAGGTAGTACATATATGAGAGATCACTGTAAAATTCTTCCCACTTTCCTGTGTTTGAAAATGCTCCTAATAAAATGTCAGGGGTGGGAGGAACCCTCCCGGGAGCTGCCCCAGCGCCAAGGGGCAGGGCAGGACTGAGCTGTAAATCCAGGTTCTCACAGGAGGCCTGGGAATCTTCAGGTCACTTCTAAATGCTAAACCAGTCCGGAAGATTACCCTGGTCTATAGCCCAGAGGCCAAAAATGATTAAGCTGAATTTAATGAAATCAGAGTGTTTAAAACAAAGTATAGATGATTCTCCTCTCAAATGGTTCAGCAAACAGCAAATGTGGCAAAATGGTATGGCAAATCTAGGTGAAGGGTAAAGGGAAGCTCCTTGTACTGTTCTTGCACCTTTTCTGCAGGTTCAAAATGTTTCAAAGTGAAATAAGGAGGAAACAACAAAACATAACAAGAATTAAAAGCAAAATAAAACTACTCAATGCTAACCTTCTACTGAATCGCTAACCCCCAGGCCTGGTCCTCCCCTCCACTCCAGGGGCTGGATGTCCCCAGGACTCTGGTTGGGCTCACTTCCAGGCACCTGTCAAATGCTCTGCCCTCAGGCCTGGGTGCCTGCTGCTCTGGCTGCCAGCGAAAGGTGAAAACTGCAGAATCAGGAGTGCGGGGTCTGTGCTCTACCACCTCTCTTCCCACCCTGGGCAGGGGAAGCCCTGACCAGAGGCCTGGCTGTGTCTTGTACAACTTGCCCCTCACCCCCATCTGGGTTGCTCAGTACCCCCAATTCTCATGATCCTGGGAGGGACTGAGTTTGGTCTCAGCATGCCCCAGTGAGAATCCCAGGGTGTGAAGACATCGTATCAGCCCAGGGAAGCCACAGGCAGTCCCTCTGCCTGCCACCTGCCCCCTCCTCACCTTGACTCTAGCCCCGACCCATCTGAGTCAGACACAGGTGGGGCAGGAACAACAGAAGTGGGTCTCCATACACTCAGCAAACCTTTAATGAGCACTCCTTTGAGGAGTAAAGCGGCGAACAAAACCAGAGCACCCCACCAACACTAGACACCCTGGTTGAGGTGTGTATGGCCCAGGTAGGGCTGTAACGAGAAGACACTCTTCCCCCTGACCTGGGCACCGGGCACAGGGGCCTTCGACAGGAAAGCAGAATTCTAGCCGCCACCCCCAACCCCATCTTGACTCCGCCCACACCACTAAGCAGGGCTGCTGTATGACTTTTCTGGGCTGTAGGCACTATTGCCTTCCTGCATTAAAAAAAAAATAATATATATATATATATTTTACAATTATGTTGGTATAAAAAAGACTATAATCCTATAATAAAAATTACATATTATTATTACATTCCTTCTTTTCTTCTGACTTTAAAAGAAATTTAAACATTTCCGTGGGCTCCTCAAAGTTTGTGGGCCCCAGGCATGTGCCTACTGGGCCTCAAGGGTAAGTCAGCCCTGCCCAGCAGGCCACCCCACCTTTAACGCAGAGCTGGGTGAAGCGGAGCTCGCTGTCGTGGTCCCGCAGCATGAAGTGGAAGTCCTCCCACGTCAGCTCCTGCTTGTCCTGGAAGCCCGATTCCCGGAACATGGACTCCACCACCTCGGCCAGCTGGGCCTTGGACAGGCAGTTGTTGGAGATCTCGATGAAGGACCTGGGGCCAGTGGGAGGGGAGCCATCAGGCCCTGACAAGGGCCCTGGGGCCAACACGCCAGGGCCCATGGCCATCCCATCAGGTCCTCAGAGCCCACAGGGAAGGCCCCCCTCACGGGTCATGTCCCACCCCCTCCTAGTTACAGCAGTCTCTGGCTACGTGGGTGAGAGGAGGAGGCCCCTGCTCTCTTACCCTCCTGCTCCCCCCTTCCTATCCCACCTCTCTTCCTGGCAGTCCCTGCTCCAGCCCACTCTCTTGGCTGTCCCATATGACCAACCTCAGCATCCTGATGAACTCATCCTTGGAAATGAGACCGTTCCCATCAAAGTCATACATGCGGAACATAAGGCGAGACTTCTCCTCGGGAGAGCCTGGGAGAAGGAGGGCCCTGTGAGAGCACCAGCCCACCTGCCTAAACCTCAAGCTGGCCGGAAGGGGCCTCACACTAGTGTGACTCACTTCTGGACACAGCAAAGGGTCTCTCTGCTTCCTGACCACTACCTAATGTCTGCTATGACTGAGACCTGCCCTCAGTGCTTCCCCATCTCCAACAGGTAAGCTACACTCCAGCCTCAGTCTCCAGCCCCTTCCATCTTTTCCTATTTGGACACTTTCTCCTTCCCTACCTTTCATGAAGACTACCAAGATGTCCAGGAACTCCCGGAAGGACAGGTAGCCATTACCATCCTTGTCGGCCAGAGAGAACATGGACTCCACAAACATGTCCTGGGGCTTGAGGCCCAGGGACTCGGCAAACTCGGCCCGGCTCAGCTCACAAGTCAGGGCCTCCCGCACCTTCTGCGATGAGTCCAGGGGCAGGGCCCCTGCGTCCGCCTGGTCAATGTCCAGCACCTGCACTCGGGCAGCAGGAGAGGGAGGGAGTAAAACAGACAAGGCATCTTTGACTTGAAGGCCGGTAGAGGCTTGTAGGCGCTATCTTTTAAGGTGTCTGCCCAGCACCCACTCCCCTAAGCACTGCCCCATCAGCCCTGTGGGTGGTCCTTGGGCAATTTGTTCTACAGAGCCCTGGGCCTCTATATTAGCTGACTGAACCAGGGATGTACATTTGACCCAAGCAGAAGATCTGGAATTGGGACTGAGAAATCCCAGGACTACTGTGACCTGAGCACAAGAAAACAGAAGTTGTGAAGCACCCTGTTCCTCCAAGTGCTCAGAGACACAGAGATGGAGGGAAGCGGGGACACAGACAACACGCAGGCAGCCTGAGACCGGAGTGGCCTAGTTTGCTGACAGCTTTCCCTTTCCTGTCCCTTCCAGGCCAGGTCAGTGTCCTCCTTTTGGACTTCCTGAGACACCACTATATCCTCAGAGTCAGTTGACACTTTCTCAATGCTAGCTTGAGCAGGCTTCTCTGACCTCCAAAGGAGTTTTAACTAAGAAAAAGCCTCAGCTGGGTTTAGAAAAAGCTGGGCTTGGGAAAGGGAGATTCTCATCACAGACCAGCTCCAGCCTGCCCAGGAGCTGCCCCAGCAGCAGAACAGATGGTGCGGGAAGTAAGCAAGCCCCAGGCCCCTGCACCCGTCTTTCCTGCCTGTCAGCTGGGGGCCCTTAGTCCAAGCCTGGCTGTGGCTTCATGAGATAAAGCATGTTGCTTCAAACAAGGTGCTTTAGTGGAAAGGGTCTGGGGCTGGGGGCAAGAGACACCCAGGTTTATGTCCCAGCTTTGCCACCAGCTTGCTGCATGACCTCAGGTGGGTCTCTTCAGTTGTCTGATATTCAGTTCCTCACCTGCCCTATTTATCTCACAGGGTTATTGTGAGACTCTACCAGAGGTTGTATGGGAAATGTTTTGAAAGCTAAAAGCACTGTGCAGATAGAAAGTGTTGGCAGCTCCCCTCAGGACACAGTAACATGCCCTTAGCTCCCAGCACAGGGAGTTTCCAGAGCCCTGGTGGATCCTGAACTGAGAGGAGGTGCCTGGCTCCTGCCCGGGCCCTGGCAATGAGTCACCCTGGCTGGGGGTCCCTCGGTTCTAGTGCATACTTAGGTTGTTGGAGGAGTGAGCCACGTGCCTGCACGTGATGAATGACCATTAAATGGTGGTGTCCCTCATAAATTCTCTCCCCAGTCAGCCAACCCTGCTCTTGCTCAAACATTAACTTTTTTCCCTTCAATACTGGGCACCTCTGTTCAGTCCTTTCTGCTTTTTTTCTGAGCCCAAATTTTTCCAACTTTTTCTGAGCACTTGCCAAATCTCACCTCCACCATGACCTTACACCAGCCTGAAGCCTCGCTACCTTTTCTGGACTCCTAGACCACTCGTATCCTGGATCTCTTTTGTGGCTGACATTCTTCTCCAGTTATCTTCCTTTCAGTGCTTGTCCTGTCTTCCCAGTGGGCTAATAAACTCCTTCGGTGGGGCCACGCCGTATTTATCTTACATCTCCCAAGCTTCTCCTTTCCACTGTTCTGCTCCCAGGCTGCCTTCATTTTCGTGCCAGATGAGGACTCATGTCCTTACATTTCTCTTCCTACCTTGTTTCCCCACATTCTGCCAATAGTCTCAGAAGTCTGAAAGGTGGGCATTAATGCCACACGGAGCCCTCCAGCAGCTGCACACCCCACCAGGGGGCGGCTGACTGAGTGCTCTTACTGCCCCCTGGCTGCCCGTCTCACCCTAGGTTTCTGCAGCCATTTGGGCAGGATGAGCTGAGTGAGGGCAGAAAGGCTGGGCAGCCCCGAGGAGAGAAATAAATGACCCATGTAGATAAACCCCTTCCCAGCATTGCCTCCTTGGAGGAAGTCTCACAGATGAGAGTAGGCTTGGGAAGGGGGCAGGAGCATTTCCTTACAGAAAGGTCAGGTTACTTAGCCAAAATCACAGTAGAGTTGGTTATCAGCTGAGAACTCAGGGCTTCTACCTTTCCCTGAGTCACCCCACGGCCTCACGTAGGTAAGGGCACCACCACAGGCAGACATGCAAGGACTGATCTGATCCCACAAACACACCTGGGAGAAAAGGTGCCTGAAAAAGGTCTCCAGGAGGTGGCTCCGCTGTTCCCGTGTCACAGCTGCCCTCATCAGCTCCTGCTCCCGCAGCTCCCACTCCTGGAAGCTCAGCCCACTCTCCTTCAGAGCTCCCTGGAGGTTTTCCACCATCACCTGCCGCTCTTCCTCCAGGTTAAATAGCAGCACCTACGGAGGGAGCACGAGGGAGAGCAACCACGCTTCAAGGCCTCTGAAGGCCAAGAGCTTTCCATGAATTTTGTTTTGGGAAAGGGGGGACTGGAAAGAGTACCCATGTAAAAGGGATACTGTTATTTCCTGGGCTCAGTGGGGTTAAGGGCCTTGCTTATAGGTACAGAAGTGGCATTCAAAGGCACATGTATGAAGCCATTCTTCCCTCTCTGTTCCATACTAGAGAAGGGTGGGAAGGCAGGAAGGGCAGAGGATGGAGGGGACCGTGAGCTAGAGTCAGAGTTGAAGATCAGCCTCCTGCTGAGCCCCCCTCCAAAGTCCCTAATGGTTCACAAGATCCTGCAATCAGGGAACAGGAAAGAGGGGCCAGCTTCTTCCAAGGACTCCCAGCTGGGACCTGCCAGGGCATCCTTACAAAGGGAGGGGTGGACTGTGTCCCCAAGAGTAAGAAGGGGCTGTGGGGATCATGGCATCCAGCAGGCTCAGAGCAGGACAAACATCTCCCAGTTTATCTATCAGGTACTGCAGCCAGGGACTAGAGGCCAGGAACCCTGCCTGGCCGCCTCCCTGGCTGTGGCTGTGGACAAGGAGCCAGGGGCCAGCTGGGCTGTACCAGGTCATATTCCTTTGGGATCTTGAGCAGCAGGGCACGGCGTCTGCGGTTGCTGGACAGGATGAGGCTGACCTGCTGCGGGGGCTGCAGCTGGACGGTGCGGAGCACAGAGAGCCTGCCATCCATCACGTGGATCTGACCAGGCTGCAGGTGCACCAGCACAGGCCGGCAGGGCTCTTTGTGGCCCTGCCATTCCAACGCTGGAGAGAGATGGGGCTGGGTCAGCTAGGGCCCATGGGGAGGAGGAGGGCCAGCTCAGGGCTGCAGTTAGAGCAAGGCCTCCAAGCTCCTTGCCCCTTCTTCGGTCCTGAGGGTCATCCCCTCCCTGACAGTCCTGCTGTGCCTCTAGCCCATGATAAGCATATCAACTACCATTTCCTACATGTTTACTATGTTCCCAACATGGTACCAAGTGCTTTGCATGAGCTACTTTATTTCATCTTCATAAATCTGTGAAGTAAGTGCTATTATTATTACCATTTTACAGAGAAGAAAAAAAATAGATTTAGAGAGATTAAGAAACTGGCTGAAGGTCCAATAGCCCATGGTGGTAGAACCAAGATTCCAATCCTCAGTGACTGTGACTCTAGACCTTCGTTAATTACTTCTCTGTTGCCTGAGATTCTAGTGTGAGACGCCACAAAGCAGCAATTCTCAGGAATTTGTGCATCACAGTAACCCTGTGACACGTAGGCAGGGTCTTGTGACTCCTCCCCACCAGTCTATCACATTTCCTTTATTTGGGAGGAGCTAAGGCAGATGGAGGACTCCAGGTCCAGCTTCTACTTCATGCCCCTGTGGTTCTTCCTGTCAGCCCTGGCCTGCCTGGAGGCCCAGAAAAGGGAGGCCTTTTCCTTAGGCTGCTGAGGGAGGTGGGGGCTGTAGCCCAGAGTCATATCCTCCCACCTCTACCCTGGCCAGCCCCAGGCCTACCTTTCATGCCCCCCATGAGCTTCTGAGACATGACGCTCTGGCGGTTCCGGCCCTGGAGCCTCTTGAAATTTCTCCTCCTAAGCTGGGCAACAATCCAGGCACTGAGCAGGCTCACTGAGAGGGCAGAGGCAGAAGGATGCTCAGAGGAAGCGGGTGTCTGGGGAGATCAGTGGCTTCTTTCCCAGGCTCCTTTCCTTGGCAAGACTATCTGCTTTCCCCACCTCCTAGGTTACCCATTCAATTGTATCAAACTATGAAGCTCCCCAAGGGGAGCTGTTTGCATCTCAGGGGGAGCTCTGAGTGGCATCTAAAAAGCCTGCTTCCACCACTTAGGTCCCTTCCCAGCCAGAGACTGGACCCACTCCACGAGGCTGCTGGTCAGCCCACACACAGCCACACCAAAGGCTAGGTCCCAAGCAACTACATTCAGCCCTGGTCTCAAGCAGGGATTTGCCTCTGAGAGTTGCCCAGGCTCCCACAGATTGCTGTGAATTGTGGACCGCCCATGGCTCCTCACCTATCTGGACCCTGGGTTGGGGGTGGACCCCAGAAGAAAAAGGAGGCAACTCTCCCCGGAGCTAACTCATCTGCAGGTCGGACACTTCTCATTTCCCTCCTGCACCGATGTTTCTTCATCTGCCCAGGGGAACAGTACTCTGCACAGTTGTCTGACCACCCTAGATGAAAACACTCCGATCCCACCCCCAGGCTTATCCCGCTCACCCAGCCCCGCCCTGCCCATCACTTTTACCCAGGGGGAAGCAGCAAAGAGTCGCGATGGTGATCCCAAAGCCAAATCCACTGCCTTCAAAATAGTCCCGCATGACGGGGGGAGCACAGGCTGGCAGGCCCTCAGTGCTGAGCTGTCTTGGCTGCGGGCAGGGGTCTCCTGTGGAGAGAGAAGCTACAGCCCTGGAAGGATGCGGGACCACAAGCTCTCATACAGGATCACCAAGGAGGTGAGGGTGGCAGAAAGGGAGAGGGGAGAGGGCTGATTAGCCCTGCCATTGTACCAAGAATGTGGCATTTGCCTTCTTGGGCAACAAGTAGGGTGAAAAATGAAAGTCATCCTGTCTCTCTGTCACATATACACATGTGTACACACACACACACAGCCCTTTCGCTATCACTGCTGTGCGATTAGGATATTCTTAGATATTATCACTATACTTGGCCCTCCTAATGTTACAACCATCCGGGCCAAAAGTTAGCCTCCTCACCAGGTCTCTCTGCATCTCAGTCCTGCCCTCACTCGGGCACACTAGAGTTGTGTAGAAGGGAACCTACACAGCTGTATTTGGTCACCCCGGTGCCCAGAATCAAAGTTCCCAAAGGCGGAACTATAGCTCACTACCTCCTTAGACTACTATTCAGCCACACTGAACCAAGCCCACAGCTGAGGAGAGATGAGGCACCCGACCCCAAGCCCCACCAAGTGTCCCCTGGCCACTCACCGGCATGCCAGAAAAAGACGCTGGGCTGCAGGGCACCATGGTTCACATTGGTGACAGCCACGAGAACATCCCGTAGGGAAGTGTTCCTAATCTCTGCAACCTCTTTTTCAGAGAACAGCCTGGGGGTGGGAGAGGTGGGGAGCTGTTGAGGTGGGAGAGAGGTGCAGCCAGGAACCCAGATGAGGAAAAAGACCCAGAGGGGTTGGGG